TAGGTTCCAGGAAACTAGGAACAATTGCTGCTCAGCAGAGTGCATGCAGGACAAAACCCTTGCTACTACTTAGGAACTACCAATTAGTGTATTCATGTACTTCATGAATATGCTAATATACTACAAGGTAGGGTTTAGTTTAAGGGGGTGTCTGGTACTGAAACCTCTTTTGAATTAAATCTGTCCTATGGACAAAGAAGCACTTCAATGAATCCTAGTTTTCTTTTTCTTTATGACATTTTATTTCTTTCTCTGTTGCTTATGAATATAAGGATAACTCTAATGAACATTTATTGAATAATTATTTTGTGCCAAGCATTGCACTAGCTGCTATCACATCATTAACACTTTCCAATAACCCAGTGTGGTAGGTACTACTTTTTTCCCCATTTGCCAGATAAGAAAACTTGAGACAGCATGCTTAAGTATCTTGTTTGTAAGCCAGCATGCAAGAAACTCAGGCTCAATCTCTAGATCAAGCAAAAAAGAAAAAAAAAACTCATGGATATGGACAGCAGCATGGTGATAATGGGGGGAGTGGGGGTGGGTGGAGGTGGAAGAGGGTATAAAGGGGATAAATGGTGATAAAAAATACAATTAAGACATAAATAACTAGAGAAAAAAAGAAACAAAAAAGAAGCTCCACTTTGACTGCAGAGCCCAGTGTTCTTAACCACATTGTCAGTATAAATTTAAAAAAAAAAGTCAACCAAGTATAAATGTAAGGAGGTTAACTTTCACTGATATATTCACTAAGCAAGTCCAATGAAATGACTGAGTTAGGAAAGAATTTAGTCATTCAGACTTTAATCATTAGAATGTTGGTATAGTAATGGTTTCAGATTGCTTGAGTTCACTCCCTGTTTCATCACTTACCAGTTGAATGGTTTTAAGCAAGTCATGTTACATAAGTAGGTCTCAGTTTCTTCAACTATAAAGTGAGGATAATAATACCTACCATATACCTGTGTTGTGAAAACTAATGAAAAAATAATATAAAGTATCATGCCGTATCTTACATGCAATAGGTGCTCAGCATAATCCACATCATTTTCTTGTCTTTTTCCTTTTTGGGAAGAGAGCTCTCACCTGTAGCTTCCATTTGAAGAAAACACAGTTCCTGAAACTTTTTTTTTTTTTTTGAGGAGAAACGTTCTGAAAAAGTATATTAAGCTGACTCTTCCCAGGGATAAGCAAGGACAGTTTCCCGATTCGTATGTGAAGTTTATTTCATTTTTTCCTTTTTTTTATTGTTGTTCAAACACAGTCGTCGCCACTTTCCTGCTACCACTTTCACCTGCCCCACTGACCTCCCACCCTCAATCCTACCCCCCCTTGGCTTTGTCCATGGGTCCTTTATACAATATTACAAAATAAACTAGAAACATGAATCCTTAAGAGAGTTGGGGTGGTGCAACTCCCTGCTTCCTGAAGATGAGGGCCAAACTGTGACATCATCTATTTTGTCACTAGATAAATTTCACAGTTGGCATAGACTGTTAGTTAGATCTGGGATATTGGTAATCCCAGCCATTTCAAGGCAAGCAAAATGAGGCTAAAAGAGTATAAGTTACTTGTCCAAGGTCAAACAGTGAAAAAAATCAGGAGAATCCATTTCTCCTAACTCCTTATCCAGTCTTCATTTGGTGGCTCCTTTGTGGGCTCTAGGGCAGGTGGAACCAAGTCTTGATGTGTGTACTTTGCAGGAGTTTGAACTGATTGGAGTTGCAGGGCTTGGTACAAGTTTGATTGATTTAGAAAATATGAAGTCTTTTTCTAGTTCAAATTGATTCACTAGTGTTGCTTTCAAACTGTTAACATTTCTATTTTGTTTGAGGTTTAGCAAATTAGTGTTGTTTCTCCCTGTTTAGATTCACAGTTTGGTTCAGGTTTTGGTTCTTTGAAATCTTCCACTGGGATTTTTGTTTTTGGCAAACTTACTCAGTATCCAAGTTGGTTAACAATAGGAATTCATTTGAAAAGATCAGTCAGGCTTAGTGAGGGGTGCTGAAAAGGAGCTCAGGTGGTTAGGGAACCATTAGTGCTTACATTCTGGAGTTTGAAATCAGGATAATGGAAACATTGCAATGATTTTTTCATATACATATGTTTGTGTGTTTGTTTTTCTCAGGGTTCTCTGATGCTTTCATTTCTGTTCTTGATAATCTGGGTTGATCACCTGCCACTTCATCGCCTTTTATGACATGCTGTCAGTCATATTCTTGATATGATTCTCATCTTTTGACTGTGCGAAAAGAAGGTAACAAAATCGCCTTCCCTTTTCTTCCCCTTTACTTTGAATGGTCCTTCTGAGGAACTTGGGGAATAGGAATTTTAAGCTTAAGTGTGTGAATGATTTCAGTTGCAATGCCCAAAGATGGAACAGCCTGATTCTGAAATACAGCCTTTGTTCCTTTCTATCCAATGTGGTTTTAAAAATCAGGCAAGCCTCCTTTGCTGAGCCTGAAATTGGGCTGACAGTTTTATTGGTGACCAGCCATATCATAGGTAAGGCTGTGGCAGAGGGTTGAGGTGATAAAGCCCCTGGAGAACTGTATCCCACCTGCCTGGCTTTCCACATGCCAAAGGAAAGGAAGCTCTGGTGCTAGAGCTGTCAGTGATTTTTCAAGCTCTTGATTGTTTACCTAAGCAGTTGGAAGGGTAGGATTGCAGCTGTGGTGGTAAAAGGGCCATTCCCAGTCAGTCAAAAGACAAGTACTTTCTAAGAGATGAGGTTTGGATGATTTTAGCAAGAACATTTGTTTCTGCTTAGGAAAAAAGAATTCTCACTTTAGATTGTTTTTTTTTTCCTCCTTCCTTCCCCTCTCTTCCCCTCATTTCGCTTCTCTCCTCCCCATTTCTCTTCTCCCCTCCCCTCCCCATCCTCTCCTCCCCTTTCCTATTTTAATGGATCACTTGCTCTTAGCTACCAATTACCTAACTCTTTGTCACTTGTAATATTCATTTTCCCCCATTGATTTAATATAGATTTTGGATATAGACTTTGGATATAGATTTTACTGGCATTTTTAGTACTCGCAGTGGAAGTCAAAGAGGCAATTAGAAAAAGTTTTCTTTCTCACAGGAAGTGGGCTGGGCATTGGTTTGAAGGCACAGATGGCACTGGAGGGGGCCAAGGGGAGCTGACATCTGATATTTCTGCTATAACTCACACCTTTCTTTTGGCTGCTTTAGATTTGGCCCATGTGGACAGACACACACTTGGGTAACCACCATACAGATGGAAATCAGGACATGTGGGATTTGGCTGAACCAAAGGTCCCCGAACATTGCCTGGATCATTTAGTGCCCCAGGTGTGGCCACCCCAGGACTTCATGTGCTAAAATTGTGTCCCAGCTTAAGCCAGCTGGTCACTATATATATAGTATCAAGGCAGCTTAGAGACTCATAAAGCATGACTTTGGATTTTTACCTTGTGGATTTAGATTTAGTTAATCAATCTGAATTCTTCCACTCACACTGGGCAATGAGGACTTACTAGGTTAATAGAAATATTTAACGAAAGGAGATACACATTGTAAAGTAGATTGCATTTTAGATGGGACATAATACTAGGCCATATTAAAAAAATGGACTGTTCAGAAAGAAAAGAAGGAATTGAAGCAGGGGTCCCCAACCCTCGGGCCAGAGACTATACTGGTCAGTGGCCTATTAGGAACTGGCCAGAAGGGAAGCCGAGCTCCGCCTCCTGTCTCCGTCCCTCCCTCCCCCTCCACTCACCCTCTCACCTGGTCCACAGGAGGAGGTGAGCTGAAGCAAGTGAAGCTGGCCTCCACCTCCTGTCCTCTCCTCCCCCCACCACCCCGTTTTGTGGAAAAACCGGTCCTGGTTATCAAAAAGGTTAGGGACCAATGAATTAAAGGACTTCAGCCTCTTTAATAAACTTTGAATGTATTATGTATCAGATTTTTAATTTTTTTCAGAAAAACTTCTCCTCTGTGGAATTTTAAGAATAAACAGCACTTTCTTCTCATTTTAAAACTGGAAAAATTGGAGAATGTTTTATGAAATTATATATATTTTTTTATTTTCCTTGTTATAGAGATGGCTCAATTCAGTCACTTAGGCAAGATTTGTTTCAGGGTATACTATTAATAATCCCATATAATTTTACAGCTCTCTACAATTTACAGAAATGTTTTCATTTCTTTGATCTCATTAGCCCTTTTTAGCAATCTTGTCAAGCCATAGGAATAGGTCCTACTATGTCCAATTTAGAAATAAGGAACTTAGGCTCAGAGAAGTTAAGTGACTTGTCAGGGTAACACAGCTAGAAAGTTATAGAACTGGAACCTGAACCCAACTTTCCTAATAGCCAGATCAGGTACTCATTCAGTTATGTTATGGTTCCTTTCTATCTCCTTTTTGTTCATACTCATCATAAATTTTAAAATTGGTTTAGAAAAAATGGGCTTCAGTTTAGCAAATGCATAAAACTGAAGCACTTATAGGTAAAGTGATTAAGGTCACCAATGGAGAGTCCTGCACATAGCTCTTAGCTTTTCACCTTGACTTTAACTGAACTATTTTTAGGTATACATCGATTGTTCTTCAGTGTTAAATACATGCACAGAAGTTCTGTGATCCACTGATTTTAGGTGTGAAAGCTGCACCTGGGGAATTGGACTAGCGATGAAAAGTTGACTTAAAATAATTAGCTTCTTGCCTTTTTGTTAAGAGATGTCATGATCAATAGAATTTAATTTTATACTTCCTTTGCTTCCAGCCCTTTAAATGCAATTCTTTAGGGGAAATTAGCAAATATTCATTTTGAATGTTGAATTCTTAGGAACAAGGGTAGTTGGAGGAAAGAGAAAGCAGAGCGGTGACTTCTCATGCTCTGTAAGAGTGGGCAAGCATTTTTTTTGTTTGTTTGTTTGTTTGGTGCTGCGAGCTAAGATTTCTTCTAAGGCATGCAAATCGTAAAGTTCTGATTTGTCAACTGCATGCTGTTTCTTTAGGCACTGATGTATGAAATCCTGAACGAATTCTCCGATGAACATACCGCTAATTGCTTCTCCACCTGCTCTCCAACCTCTTCCACCCCACCCCCTCCACTCCCAATTCAGCCTGTAAGTGTCCGTCATTGGAGATGGATAGTGACACATGCAGTAATAGCAATTCATAAAAGCTGGTTCCAGCCCTTGTCTTCAAGGCTCCTGGATTTTCCACTGCCTGCTTTTGTGTAAGTGAAGTAGATGGAAGTGCTACTGGCATCAGAATCCACCTCCCTATGCTCCGTTGCTAGAGCTCAGTTGCTCAGCTGGAGCTGAGCTAAACAGAAGCCTCGGATCCGAGCTGAATTGTAGCTGGGTTTTTTCCCCCTCAGTGCGGGGGAGGGGGGAGGTGAGTTTGGGATAGTGTGTAGTGGATTTTGGGTGCTTTGGCTTTTCTTTTTTTGGAGAGAAGAGGGTAAGGGAAGAACTCACAGCAAGATACAACGTGAAACAGTTCTCTCAAGAGTATCACGATGTTCCTGGTACAATATACAGGTATAGTATGTTTTATTTTATCTGAAATTTCCCTTTTGTTTCAAAGTGCATTGCTGTCTTGTTTTGCCTCCAGTTCAACTATACTGAAGGGCAAATAAGGTTATAATGAGCTAAACAAAATATCTGCATAATACATGCCTGCCTCTAACTATAATGTTTGTAGCAGATTGCTATGTAAAATCTGGGTTTTCTGTTAAACTCGTACTCCTGATCCTTTAATTGTGTACGCTTCTCTGCTGTATTCTTGTATTGAATTTCTTAAGTCTTATGTCTGCAACTGGTAGTATGTGATAGAGCCTAGAGTGTTTGTACAGAAGACACAGTGCTTTCTTTAGAGGCAAAAAAGCAATTTTTAAACACTTCATATGTTGTGTTTCTCTTGAGTTTATTAACTCCTGCATTTCTTAATTGGCGGTCTAGATTTCTTAAGAGTAAGGAAACCTCAAATAGGAAGCATTCCAGAACATATTTGTTCGGTAAATTTATTTTTGTTTCATTATTTAACTCAGATTGATCAACACTGTATATTATTGTTATTTGTTTGTTCTCTTGGTACATAGAAAAAAAAGGGGCTCGGAAGAGCAAGCTAAAAAATGCCAGCTCCAAACCATTTGTATTGTAAAATATCATTGGACCAGAAGTGTTCCAGTATTTTTTTTTAAGCATTCAGAAACATACTGGTCCATAACAATGAAGTTGAAGACTGATCAGGTTTTGGTAAATGTTATTTAAAAGGCTTCTTGTACATATAGCAGTTAGACAGAAAGAATCCTTCTAAGTGAAAAAACCTTAAGAAAGTTTCACTTTCTTGCTGAACAGAACAGAAGCTTAGATCCTACAACCACATGTTTTAATAAGTTTGAATATCATTTATTGTCAAGGACTTCCACATCCATTCTTGCTTAATTGTCCTTAAAATATTGTGCCCCTGTGCTTAAGAGCTAAAAGATCATGTTCTGTTTTGATGCATGGTTTGACAGTTAATTTCGCTCCTCATTAATTGGACAGCATGCAGATGATGTGGAGAAGTGAGTGAGTGACAATATTTCAAGGTTACGCTGAAGAGCATACAGTGAACCTTAGTTCCTGGACCAACAGCTGCTGCATTGAATTGTCTGCAATTAAAGCAACAGCAGGTTTGTGTAGTCTCCCTGCAGCCCATTTATTTGAATTTATAGCTTCAGTTTCTTTTTTGGGTCATGGATGGTTTGTTTCACTAAGTGTTGAAGAGTTGTGCTTGTTGGATGTTTTCTCCATACTCCAATGCATGCTTGACCCTAGAAGAGCTGTCTCTGTACATTTTTAATGTGGGAAGTTTTTGAGGTTTCTCTTTTTGGATTAAAACCAGAGAATGTCCCTTTTTGTTCACTGCAAAAGTGAACAGATACGTTTTTATTGAAAATATTGCTTTGTTCAATAAATAAGAGATTTCTCATGGGCCAGTGTTACTGGTGTAAATTTCTGGCAATGAAAAGTGTTGGAATTTACTATTCTACTGGAATTACTATATCTGGGAAGAACTTCTCTATCCTAATAAAAAGTGTTTATGTTTTAAAAACAGTGACATTTTCTCCCTGCCATGTCTCAATTCCAGGGCAACCTAATAAATAATGTCAAATCCAACTAGGTGATTTTTATGACTGAATTTTATTTGTATGCTAATAATGAATAAATGCTGAATTTCTTCATGGATTTACTCCATTAAAAATAACAGTTGCCGTATAGTTGTTGGCCATTGACTCATGCATAGTGGATGTAGTATAAAACATTTATATTGTAATTTAACATGTGCTTGATCAGTTTATCTTCATAACAACCCTGTATGAGGTCAGTGGCATTATGATCTCCATTTCATAGGTAAGAACACTGGGACTCTGATAATAAGTAACTGGCTTTAGGTCTCACATCTAACAAGTGGCAGAGGCTGAACTCATAAGTTAGATAATCTGATTCAAGAATCTGAGCTTTTTCTCTCCCTTATACCACGCTGACTCTCATTTGATGGATCCAGGGTAAATTTGACAGAAGTTACTAGTTAAGAAGACTAAATTCAGTCATTTATAAGAAATGTGTTCTTTTATAGAACTGTAGGGATTTTTCCAGCTATTTAACCCAACATTTATTTTAATATGTGAGTGCTTTCCAGATTAATTTTAGAGATATATAAAGAAACATTAGCATTTTGATTAATTTATAATTCAATACAAATGAACGGAGAGCCTTGTGAAGTTATTGGGAAGTAAAATATCCAATCAAAAAGGTTAATTGGAATATTTTCTTCTAAAACAAGCTAGTTTTTTAATATTTTGCACAAAAAGCATATGCCGTTTTCATAAAAGTATGTGCATTTTAAAGTATACTGGCCATAAATGTGAGGTGGTATATTTTTTAAAAGATTTATTTATTTTTAAAGAAAGGGAAAGGAGGGAGAAAGAGAGGGAGAGAAACATCAGCATGTGGTTGCTTCTGGCATGCCTCCAACTGGGAACCTGGCCTGCAACCCAGACATGCGCCCTGACTGGGAATCTAACCAGCGACCCTTTGCTTCTCAGGCCAGCACTCAGTCAACTGAGCCATACCAGCCAGGGCTGAAGTGGTATATCTTTTATATTTTTATTTTTATTGAATCTATTGGGGTGGCATTGGTTAATAAAATTATATAGGTTTCAGTATTTTATTCAGATCAACAGAAAAAATATACAGCTAACTCAGTTTCATACCTTTCTTCTCCCTCCCTCCCCTCTTTTTTCTTTTTCCCTTCCTTCCCCTTCCCTTCCACCTCCCTCCCCTCCCCTCCCCTCCCCTTCCTTCCTCTTCCTTCCTTCCTTCCTTCCTTCCTGTAGACCACCTTTCCCATCTTTCCCATATTTGTAAATTCCCAAATAGTTTCTCAGTTATAATGGTTTCTCATTAGGTTAAATGTGGAAAAAAAATTCTGCCCCACTGAAGAAGGGAATACTGTTTAAAACTGCATTATCACTTCAGAAGATGACTCCAGATAATTGCATAGCTCATATTAGTTCTCTGGTAAAACATCTTTTAAAACCTCTTCAGGTAACATTTTTAAAGCAGTCATTCTTAGATCTGAATTTATTAGAAACTATCTCCATGTACTGGGGAAATGACTAGTTGCTCATGCCATAGACAACTCTTCAGCTTTTGACAATGAGTATTTGAGAATGTTGCCAGGCAAATGAGCCAGAGTTGGGGCAAATATTATTGTGATCTGTTTATGAGACTTTTAGAAAGTTGGTAATGGATATATTGTCTCAGATTCCATGTAATTAGAATATATCCTTATCTAAGATAGTATCTTTATACTTTAATACATCTTAAAGCTATTCTTATACTATTCCCTTCTAACAAAAAAGAAAGGAGGATGATATAGAGCCCTTTTATCATTCTTTAAGTGGAAATGGAAATTGACACTTGAAAAAATACAGGAGAGAATTTTGGGGAATGAGTCAGCATTAGAGCAGGGAGAGCTAGGGGCATGTGTTTGGAAGCTCCACATTAAACTTGATTTCAGGTGGCAAATTTCCTGTGCATTTGGAAGCTCTGGCTAATACCCCTTATTTTATTCCTCTTCCTGGGAACAAACACTCTTAAATATAAATAAAAAGTCAGCTCTATGGGGGCTTTTTAAAGAAATTGACATTTTCTGATTGGTGAAAGAAAAAGTCTTTTACTGCAAAATCATTTTTCCTCCTCTGTTATTTGAGGCCAAGATAATTAGAGGGAGTAGAGTTCTGCTTGTTCAGGGGAGCTGAAGTTGGTTTCTGATGATTTCTTTCCTTCAGTACACCTGTGAGTGTGTTTTAGGAGAGTGAAAGGCAGGTCTCAGAGATGTGGGTATAAGGGCTAGTATACACCAACCAGTGGTGTGCTGGAGTTGCCTTACTGTAGATTATTGAAAGGGATCACTAAGAATATTTACCAATTAAAAAATTTCTCAGTCTGTCTTTTTTTCCTAAAAGGGCTTAATATACTCAGTATGAGTAATAGTTAAGGCATGCTGTCTGTGCAGGGCAACATAGTGAAGATGCCCCATGGGCTGCTACACTATACTCACTGCCATCCCTTAGATACAGCACTGATGCCTTCAAGGGTTATTGGACATAGCGTGATGAAGTGTGTACCCCTACCCATGCATACACATGATAATAACAGCTAACATTTACTGAGTGCTTGCTATGTGCCAGGCCATGTTACAAATGCCTTGTATGTATGGACTCATCAAGCTTCACAGCACCCCTTTCAGGTAGGTGGTATTTCCATTTTAAGGGTAGAAAAACTGACACAGTGTTTTAAGTAACCTGCCTACCAAGTCACACAATTACTAAGTAGTGGAATCAGAACTTAATCATAGGAAATCTGTCTCCAGAACCTATGTCCTTAACCACTGTGTAATATATTGTGTGTCTTTAAAGGCACTTCACTGAAAGAAGCTGTTTACACACTCATGTGCCTCCCAAAGCAGATGTCCCATTGTCCATGCCTTGAGAAGACATAGACAGTGCAGAGTTCTCTGCTGACCAGACTGAAAATTCTGGGCTATCCATTCTTGGTGCCTGGGACAAGACCATGAATGGCTCAGGATGCCATTTTGAAAAAAAATTTTTTTTCAGAAGGTTTTTGAGGAGAGTAGTGATTTATTAAGATCTGAATTTAGAAAGAACACCCTAACAGCTAGGCATAAAATAGAGTGGAGAGAGGGCAGATACAGGGAAGATGTGCTATGATTTGGTCATTTGACTGCCTGAAAGAAAAACTGCACTCTAGTTGGCAATGTTTGTTCTTGCAAAAAGCTGAAAATTGAGAGAGAAGCAGTTGAATATGCAAGATACATTTTTTTAAGGCTGACAATCTGAAGAAAAAGCATGAGTAGTGGCAGAGTTTAGACGCTACTGGAGATGCCGTGATCCACCATGTCTCTGGCAATAGAGAGTGTGAGCAATGAGGGTCAGAAAGAAAGTAGAATTTTCAAGCAGTCTGGTAAC